AAAAGGCCACTCTCCTATGCGGGTTCGAATCCCGCCGAATGCCGCGAGTTTTCTCACTATTGGGTCAACTAAATAGTTTGTAGAATCAGGGAGAGCATTTGGAAAACGGTAGACTTTTTTCGCTGACTTTAAATGTCACTGAGTCAAGTGTCAAGCATGCAAGGTTGACACTTGTCTCTGTCAATATAAGCGGACATGCGAGTCCCAGGAAATAAGTGAGAAGAATTAGATGTGATGTGATGTCGCGTATCCATCATCAGAAACAATTGCAGAGACGATTAATTCATACGCACCACCCTGTGTTAATCACTCGTTTCTGCTATTGTCTCCAACGCCAGATCCACAAGGCATTTCGAAATATCAAGCGAATAAAAATCCCGTCCCAGTGATCATATCTGATTCTTCTCTCTTGTTTTCTGGGACTCATATGTCGCTTATATTGACAGATACAAGTGTCAACGTAGTCCGCTTGACACTTTGCTCAGTGGCATTTAAAGGCGAATAAAAATCCCGTCCAGCGATCGCGTCTGCCTCTCCTCGTTTTTCTATGTGCTTGTCTCATATACAATATGGAACATAACTCATGAAAAATGATAAAACAAATAGAAAAGATGCTTGTTTGGCTCTTTTTACGTCGAGCAGTTTACTTATTCGCCTTAATTTTTCCAAAATAAGTAATTTTTTATACTGGGTAAGCTCCTAGTGAATATTATCAGGCCAAATGTTTACCACTTTCAACGGAAACCTACGGTATCTTTTAATCGGCCGGTAATTTACGTTGTTGGTGTTCTTAGACCACACGGTCGCACCCGTGCGTGTTACTATAAGAGACGAATAATTTTGCCTTGAGAATTTAACCAAACAGAACTTGCCGCTGTTTAAAATTGTGGTTGCTAACTAACGAAGTCGGACTCCATATATTTATTTGGGTGTTTTTTGCTACATTTGCAGTTGTTTACTATTGATTCGGGATTTTACCTCAGGTTGAAATACTTTAGCATTTAGGCTGTCTGCTGTAATGTCATCCAAAAGTACATGTGAATTCATGAACGCAGTTCCGGGAGGGACATACACAAGCGACACACCCGTTAACGCTTAACCTGGAATAGTT